CGCTGCTTTGACCGGCGGCGTCGACTCGTGCCGCGTTTGTTGGACTGCGCCAGAAGCAAGAAGAGAAGGTTCAGAGACGCCACACAGACTTCCGGATGTCCTTCCCCGGCCGGTCCACTGCCTATGCTGAATCACCTCTCTGGCAGCCCTGTCTGCCCTCCATGCCTCCCAGCCAACCGGGTTACTGGCTGTCGGGATCGCAGTGCACTTGCCTTTGGCCGTGGCGGCTGATGTTTGACGGGACATGTTCATAGCAGCTTGCTTTTGTGGTTTGATGAACCGTAGCTGTCTTGGAGCCTTTGCTTCCGCGTCGTTGCTTGTGACGGGGTTGCGCCACGTGGGATGGGCTGCTCCTGCCTCAACCAACCCTCGCGTGCGTGGCGATGAGGAAGGAGCTGCCCTCGCCGCAGCCCAGCACCACCATCACATCTGCGGCGTGCAAACAACTATGCCTCTGCACCGCGGCCGCCAAAGCAATTCGCCAGCAGCATCGCCAGGTGCCGTAATGAGAGCGTTGCCCGGCTTGCGGTGAGTGGGCCCGGCGCCACGAAAATCTCGCCTGCGGTTTGTTCTGGAAAGCCTCTGGAAGGAAGAATGAATCGCCCGCTGAGTCGCCCTCACTCCCAGGCTGTCCCTGATCATCGCAGACAAACTGACACAGAATGCGCACTTATTCACGACCAAGAAATTTGGCCGCCGGTCGTTCTCAGACACGTCGCATTCGCGGATCACTGCAAGCCTTCCGCGCCTCCAAGCACACGGATGCTGCATGCGTTCGACGTCCCGGGATCATGACCAGCAAGGTTTCGCGCACAATCGCTTGCTTCTCCAAAAAACCTACACGTCGCAGCCTCGTTGACGCACTCGCTCACCCACCACGGAGCCCAGCCGTCGCCATGACGAATTGTTTCTGGCACGGAAGGAACGATGACATCGCTCTTGCCCCCTTGGGATTCCTCCGTATTACAGCCCGCAGTCCATCGTAAACACATTTGCCAGAATGCAGCCGTTATGCCAGTCCAATAATATAATTCGCAAGCAGCACCAACCCTGATTCGCCGTCCTGGGTATGGACAGGGGTCGTGTGCTTCACAATCAGGCTGAGACGCGCGACAAGGGCATCCCGTCCTTATCCACTAGCCTCACGCAGAGACATGCCGAAAGCCACGCGACACCGCCCAGCGCTCGACCAGCGTGTTTGCTCATACCGTCTTGTGTACGGTACTGTACTGAGAGATCGCTGTCTTCCGCTGATACCTGCGCCCGTCGTACGTTGGGCTGCCACTGCCTCACGCCTATCAGTGCGGGAGCGTTGAGGGCTCAAACAGCGTTCGCGATCTTCAGTCCATGCTCGCTCGACTCTATCCTAGCGATCGTGATTCACAGCCATCATCCGATAACCAGTGCAGCGTCGTCACACATCGACAGGGTCTGAACTCCGTCAGGTCATCTTCCTCTTAACGTCCGTCCAAGCCACCGACGTTTTACTGGCAGCATCGCTGTCAATTCCGACCGCCTTGCAATTTGACAGGTGTTTGACGGATTTCTCCACAGAAAACTTTGTCGAAATTGTGATCGTGAGTTAGACCTTGCGGGGAGGAGGGAAAGTGGGTCCTGGAACGGCTTTTGGCACTTCCTCTTTGAGCGCGCTACTGCAATCTGCGTGCCAGTCCCAGCGATGAGAAGCGAAGCAAGGGTTGTCATCTCCAAAAGGATCATCGCGTACAAAGAGAACCCTGTCTACACGTGGAATTCTGCTCTGTGTGGACCTTCGCCTGACTACTGGAAGAGGGCCCGCGAGCCGCTTCGCCGATGTACCAGCGCATTCATGCCGACTCAAGGCCAAGTGTGCGCTGTACGAACTTTGCGCTGCTGCAGAAGGAGAGTTCCATGAGCACCGTCGCACTAGCTGTCATGTTGACAGGTACTGGCTGGGGATTCGGTACCATTAGCCGGCGGAGCCATCTACACAAGGCAATTCAGCTTTCGAGCGTCGCATTTCATAGCGTTTCACGCAGCTCTATTCGGGCCTTACAGTGTAACGTAGGAACTACCTTTGAACGTCCAAGCAGGCAAGACGTTGCGCCGGGTTATTGCGAGGCCACTGCTGAAAGACCTGCTTCATCTCGGATTTGTCGCAGAGCTCCCCGGACGCCAGCGTGAAAGCGATCAACAAGGATGACTTCACATCCACGTAGCCCATCACTCGTCCCTGATGATCTCCTTGCGCTGGCGCCCAAATCACTACTCTTTGGGCTACACAGTCCGAGGCCGCCTCTCCCCCGATCGTGTTCCCTGAGCAATTCCGCGTGCCAGCCCCGCGACATTTCTCGCGACTCAATGATTGTCGCACCAGAAAAATTTCCGCCGTCGATCCGGAAGTATGTACCTTTTCGCATCATTCCGCTGCTCCGGTACTCTTGTGCGCCTTCTTGAAGCTCGCTACGCCAGGCCTCGTGCGTCATCTGGCTGCCCTCCAATATGCTAGCATCCGAGGCTGACTGCAGCTGCCGAACACCAGTTCCTCTGCTCTTCGCCGACATGTCCACGTGTGCAGTCAGCACTACCAGGTAGGTTCAAGGTACGCTGCGCAAAGAGAAACCTTCCTCAGCTTTGTGTCGACTGCAACAGAGTTCTTCGATGCACACTAGGAAAATTTCAGTGACATCAGCTCTCCTCAGACACACGATGCCGTTCCACATGCGCGATGCACATTTACGCTTCCGGAACACGATGGATAACCTGCCACTATCGATACACTTTCTTGTTCCTCCGATATCCGAAAAGAATGCGCCGGCTGCAGCCCTCCCAGTAACGCCAAACGCTAGTTTCGAATAACTCCTCTTTGTACTTCGGATGGGAATGGCGTTCCAATTGCGATGGTTTTTGGCTGCATGCGTTACCCGTCGCGTCTCCAATCATCGTGTCGGCAGCTTTCCTTATTCCCCATTCCCCCGGTCAGCCCAATTGCACCGGTTGCAGGTTTACGGCAGAGCTACTGCATTCGTACGATTACGCCTTCCATGTGGCATGAACCCAGGACTCGGGCTCTCGATAGACATGGGCATGACACCAAATACGGCATCTCCCTCGCGGTACCAATATCCAGGATTCCCTCACACCACCGCCTAGTGAGCGAGCTTGACTGGTCAAACTACCATTCCATGATGACATGAAGCGGTCACCATTACTGCACGCAGCTCTTCCGGCTTGCTGCTCAACACCAACGACTGACCTCAGCTGTTGCGCTGATACAGTCGTTCCGCGACGCTCCGCGCGGCCCATCCATACACCAAGCAGACTACGGCCCGTCTCACGCGCGCAACATACCACAAGCCTTGCTCGACTCCGCAACACAGTCAGCACGCGAACATCGGTACACCTAGCATGGCCGAACATGTGTAGGATGCGTGGTAGAGGCGACGGTCGCTCTTATCTCTCCTGCATCACCACTCATACCCACCCTTAGTAACCCGACCTTTCCATCGCGCAGTCAGCACGCTCACTCCGGTACACCTAAGCATAGTCGAACATGTGTTCCCGCGACGCGCGCGCACATCCATGATACAGCGCCATCGCGCTGAGTAACGTAACTTGCTTGCTTGCTTATTTTTGGTTCGGCGTGCTTCGGGTAAAAGCAAGCATGCAGTATTGTGCGACCGGCATCCCGTAAACCAAGGCGCCGGGTAGATGACGGCGTGAGATGAGCCGGTCTGACCAACATTGTTCTGGAATGCTTGAAGCGGCGACGTGGTACACAGCCTTATGGTGTTGGTAAGGGTGCGTCTTAATGGTAAGGGTGAGTTGATATGTGGGAAAGGGGTAGGCATCGGGAAGGAAGGAGGGCTATATGGAGACATTGCAGGGCGAGTCGACCATGTCGCCATGGGATGTTATTCTGAGTTGGCGGCTATCCAGTTGAGAAGTTATATCCGTCTCCTTGACCTATTTTGGTCAATGGTTCGCTGTTTCCCCAACCTCTGGTATAGGTCAAATTTTCTTTCGTTCCGTCCTCTTTCTTTAGTCTTGCATCTCTTCTGTTTCAAGCGTTTGTTGCCCCTCTCTGGATGTTTGTCGCACCTGTAGAACGTAAATCGTGTTGACTTTGACTCCATTGAGATTCAGGGGTGAGATATGGTGATGTCTAATCCTAAACCAGGCTCTGCGGGCGCGCGGTCTCTAGAGAGTGCGTGAAGTACTGCGCCTGTTGCCTTTCAGAATCCGCGTTGTTCGCTGTTCGCTAATCACGCAATGCACTTGGTGCGCATTCTTTCACTGTCAACTTTATCCCAAAACGGTTCGTCGCGCGTGCCCACCGCTCGCTGCTATGTCCACCCGAGATAACATGTTGGACTGGAAGACTCATGACTTGATCAACGTCAAGATACCAAATCCATGAGATCGTTCCAGAGCATCGCGGGTCTCGCGGGTCTCGCGAGTCTCGTATGTAGCACTCTCATCGAAGTACCATTTGGCGATTCCACTCTTCACAGCACTCCACGATTGAACACCGTCCGCCCTCGTACGAACTATGATCCAAGCAACATCGCCAACGCGGAAACATGGAGCACATACGCTACAAAAGGCGGATGGCTCAATTGTCTCCTGGATATGACCGACTCGGAAGCAGGCAAAGCATGGCCCGACCCCTTGAACCGGGTACCCACCACTGCAAGCAGTGAATGGCAAGGCACTCTGCAAGGTAAGCCATTAGGATCCACCCCTCCTCTCTTCTCTTCGAAAACGTCGAGCCTCTGCTTACCTCATCCGCAGAGCAGCTCGCGACCTGGAACTGGCACGAGGCCGAATACCACCAAGGCCACCACTGCGATTTCACTAATGATGGTAATGGGTACAACCGCATCGGCGTCGCGCTTGCCGCACTCGACCTAAACGCCAAACCGGCTACCGAAGGAGGAAAGAACAGGGGCTACTCAGTTGAACACCTAGATCCTGAGGAAGAGTACGAGAATGGAGAGCATGTACCGGCCAACGACCAAATGTACGCCGTGGGACGGGACACGTACACCGCTACTGGAGGACATTACCGCTTCGTCGTCAACGCAGAACAAGGAGCGCTCTTCGTCCAATCTCTCGACGCACCCCGCCACGCTGCAACGCAGAACTGGGCCCACACGCCCCGGCCCAACGAACTTCCCCGTCTTCAGTTCGCATCAGAAATTATAGCGGCTTATTGGTCAAGAACGCCGAATCCGAAGGGGTTGAAGTATTACTTCGCGAATAATGTAGTCAACGAGGAGACATTACCTCTGATCAACAAGATACTGCAGGAGAGTGGGTATGACAGGATACCGGAGTGGCCAGGTGTACGTGTCAGTGCGGATAGCGAAGAAGGGACTGTTCTGGTTGGTAAGTTTGGCGCTGTTTATTTTCTCTTTGGTTATAATACTACGACATATCATGATCTCGATACCTTGAGAACAAAAAGGTGCTTCTTACTAACACTACATCAGGCTCACCCATAGGCGCAACACTCGCGTACCTTCTTCTTCAACACAAAGCCGCACTCGGCGATAAGCGCATCACCGATATCACTATCTTTCGAGATTTCAAAGCGAATCCGTCGTTTGAGGCCGATATCCAATTGCTCTTTCGTATTGAAGACGTTCCGGAGGATGTTCTAAGGCCTGACGACATGGATACGGGGGTTGTGGTTTTCAATTTACATCCGGACATTAATAAGGAGGACGTCTTCAAGAGGAGGAATAGTGTGGTGGAGGCGGTTAATCCAAGGAGAAATGTGCAGAGATTGCGTCAGGTGAGTCTTGATACGGGCGGTAGAACGGCGGTGGTTAGTTGTGGGGTTGAGCAAGTTTGAAGACGCCTTCGGAGTGTGCATTCACTCTGCACTCTACAATCCTAAACAATCGCCACTCGCCGCGTATGCTTTCCTATCAACGCTTGTATCCACTTGTTTAGGCGCACTCACGACTATGACGAAGCGCTTGGTGTGTATACTCCTGAGCTCTCTCGCTTGGAGTAATGCAATGCTCAACCAAATTCACACCATACCCCGAGAAACGAAATCCGTGTGTCGCGTCAGCTATGAAGATTACCGCACTTCTCGTTACCGTGATCTGTGTACCACTGGTCTACAGCAAGCATGTCGAAGTATCGTTCGGCTCCTCCAACTCCACAGCTTTCACATCAGGCCTTCTAGATCGTCGCGATAGCGCAGTGAGCATCCCACCTACCAACGACAAAGCCCCCGCCTCCGAGCCGAATCTAGTCCAGACTGCTGTGGACTTCGACCCCACCGACTACGCGAACGATGCCAGCTGGGATAAGTATAAGAAGAAAGGCAATTGGCTGCGTTGCCTCATGGAAATGCCGGATGAAGTTGCGGGACGGAATTGGCCCAACTACCTGGACCGCAATCCGCCATCAGCGGCAAGCCAGTGGAAGGGGACACTTGAAAGTGAGTTCTATCCGTTTTCATTATCATCTATATCCAGCCATTGATACTGACCTTCATCTAGCCGAACTAAGGGATTGGTACTGGCACGAAGCCTACTATGACCCGGAAATCAACTGCGAATTTTCGGACGACTTCGCAAACTTAGAGATTAATAACAGAATCGAGGCTGCGCTGAATAAGCTCGGACTGAGCGTAAAATCAGTGGAACAAGGTGGCAAGAACAAGTGTTACTCTATCGAGCATATGGATGAGAACGCGGTGGACGACGATGGTGATGAACTCCCGGTAGACATGCAGACTTACTTCCCTAACGACGACGACGACAAAGAGTATGGCGTGAGTATTCCAGGAAGAGGTATATGCCAAACATTGACAGTTTGGCTGACTATACGTAGGCCACTGGAGCTTACTACCGCTTCGCTTTTAATGCTGAACAAGGAGGTAAGACATCCTTCCACCCCTCTTCAACCACCACCACCACCACCACCACGCACTAACCCCCCTCTCCAGCAATCTACGGCCACAACTTCCTCGCCCCCTGGCCCGCCGCCATGGACACCTACGCCGAAGGCTTCCCAGCGGACCAACTCCCTCTCCTCCGCCAAGCCTCCGACATCATGGCCGCCTTCTGGCTGCGCAACCCCAATCCCAAAAACCTAAAATACTGGTTCGGCAGCAACATCATCAACACCGAAACCGTACCCGTTGTCAACCGGATTCTCGTAAGCAAAGGCTATAAAGAGGTACCAGAATGGCCAGGCGTCCAAGTAGACGAGTCCAGTGAAGAGTATCTCGCACTCTTAGGCACACCCGTCGGCGCAAACAAAGCCTTCATGTTGGTTCAGCACAAGGCGGAATTGGGGATAAAACATATTCCCAGTATTACGATTTTCCGGGATACAAAGGATCCCAACCGCCCGGACGATGCGCCGGCATACCAGCTTTTGTTTCGCATTGAAGATGTACCGCAGGATGAGGTTATGCCTGATGATACGGAGATTGTGGATCAGGAGATGACGGGCTCTGCGACTAAGAGGATGAGAAGGGGAGAGAGGAGGGATAGTTTGGTGGAGATGGATTTGGGGAAGAATGTTGGGAGGATGCATAGGGTTAGTATAGATGGGCGGGGGGAGACGATGTTGCAGAGCCATGAGTTTGAGCGGGAGTTGTGATGGGGTTGTTTTGCTGGCTTGTTGTGTTGGTTACATAGGTAGGCCTTGGTGAGCGCCTGGACACCATTAGCTTACGAATGAATAGCAAGTAACTGCATACGCAGATAGATGGCGACCGCATTCGCGCGTGGCATACAAGCGGCTGTGATGCGAATCGTAGATGCAGACTAGCCTCGCTGCTTCCGCCCTCGTGTGCTATGTCTAAAGACTCCTCGTAATAGCAACCAGGATACTCAACTCAACATCCGAAGAGCCTGCTAGCCGCAAGCCACACTGCATGCATCTCTACAGTCCCTGAAAGCCTGGTATCTGAATCAGACCCCAGCACATCATACGTAGCAAAAGAGTAGCGGTGGATCCCGTCGCCAAGTGACAGCCTCACATTCGCATCGGCGGTCGATTGGTCTGGGTGTCTTGCCGTAGCGCAGCGTGCGCAGCCAGACCCTGACAGCGGGTCCCAGGGCCGGAACTTTATCATGGCCAGGTAGCATCTTTCGTCTCCACATACGAGTCGAGCGCGCATGCGTAGGCGTGTGTCATGTCGATGTCGGAGAGATGGGATGGTTGGGAGAACTGGGTGGCTGATGCAGGGAGGTGTTAGCGCAGGTGGCTAGCGCGGTCTAGTCTCGCCCGAAATAGGAGCATGCGTGCCGCTGTCGTTTTTCTTTTTCCAACGCGAAAGTAACAGCTCGGACTCGTATTTTCCTGTTTGCGAAACGGAGCTGTCGCTTCAGACCATGATGTATCTTCTTGTTTGCGCGCTCGTCTCGTGATGATCTGAATGCAATGCGCCACACTGTCTCTCCAGCACGCGCCACACCATCTCCCCAGTACGCCACACTATCCCCGCGGGGGATACTTGGCGCATCCTCGAAGAAACAGCGCAGACGCAAACCTGACCAAACACGAGCAGCATGACCCATACACGATGTTCAATTCTCTGTTAGTTAATAGGTTTGCGAGTAGAAGATCAGAATGTCTAGGTACATTCTTCACTGTTAGACGCGATAGGAGGTAGATTCGTGCGGTGAGTATACAGAAGTTGACTTTAGAGAGGAAGAATATCAACGAAACTAAAGCAATAGAATCTCATTACCCGATGTTAGACATCTAATGCATATTCATACAAAGATCGTCACGTCAACTGATCCTTGATACCATCGCAATCAACGCCGCTCTCCTTCAACAACGCCTCAATCGTCCCAAGATCTTCCTTGGCCTTCGAAAGCGTCCTGCAAATCGACTCACGAACCTCGCGGTCTTCGCTGTGGTCCAGGCTCGCCTGCTCTACTCCTAATCGCTCCAGATCATTACCGATGGCCTGGAATAACGACTCAATCTTCTCCTCTAAGTACTCCTTGATCACCTGCTTTTGACGGTCGATGGCTTTTTTCAGTTCTACACAAATCGCGTGGTATGGCGTTGTATCTTCGTCGCGAAGCAGTCTTTTGAACGTTCTATGTTGCATGACCTTTCGTGTCTCCTCCTTTTTGTTTCCTCGCCTGATCTCTTTGCTCTTGTTGTATACATCGATCATGGCGTACCCGAAGTAGGAGATATCGTCAGTGTCAGTAAGACAGCGTAATCTCTGCTTCCTACGGTCGAAGTCAGCAAAAGAAGTGGGGCGTCCGCTCGCCGAGTACCTACTCGATGAACGTTCTCAGATTGGTAATGCACTTGGTTTTTATCGTGGTAACAGGTGCAAATTTCATGTAGATGCTGTTGAGGAGTAGGTTCAGCTCAGCAGGTCTAGACTCTGAATACTGCTCTTCGTATCGTTAGCTAGGGAGTCAAGTTTCGTATAGGCAACTCACTGCGAATGTCCTCGGCTAGCTTCCCCATTGCTGACAGAATTTCCCGTTTCACTGGTTCGATACTATTCCATAGAGCTTCATGGATGTTCTGAAAAATCGGGTTGAGGCTCATGCGGTGCTGCTCGAGCAACTGATGGTTCCAACTGGGCTTGCCCTTTCTAGGCTTTTTGTAATTGCCTTGAACGCCATCAGTCGAAATTTCTATAGATGAGAAGGTGTCTATTACCTAGGTTGCCGACAAATGTTTTGTGCGTATTATGATGCCACTATAAGCGTTAGCAGGTATCTCTAAGATATTTTCAAATCCCACCTGAAGCCACACTTCGCACAGTTCCTCAGCACGTTCGATAAATGCAGGTAGCCGCGTACGCAAGGTGACCAGTAAGGGCTTTTCGATTCGATCCCTGAATACATCGTCGATGCATCGATGGACCTTCTTTACACATGTCTGGGACGGTATTAGTTTGGCTTTCGTGGCACTCTAAACCACTTACACTACTCAGATTTTCGACGCCACCTTCGATTTTGATTTGGAACACATCAGTTCGTTTGTTGATCCCCATCTGCATGCTAAGCATGAGACCTGGTAATGTTGCGCCCACATAGCGGACTAGCTCTTCTACTCGCATGGGCGAGCATAACGAGATGAGATGTTGCTTCAATGCAGGTATCTCCGTGTCCTTGGGGCTGAGAGGAAGAAGGGCGGAATCGTGAGCAGCAATCCCCCTAATGTTACGCTGATAGTCGAAAGCGGACACACAAAACACTGCGTGAGGACGGCCTTTGCCCCGTGCTGCTGCCATAAGCCTTTCCTTCACGCGCCGGCTGCGTTCCTCAACAAGCACTTGCGCAATGCTATGTCCCAATTAGTATCAATAATGCCCGAATCCTCAGGCACTACACGTACGCTTTCTTAACATGCTTTTGCTTCAACTGGTTGCGTAGTATAGCTTCAGCGGCGGACGGGTCCAACTCTTCGTTTTGGAGCTGTTTGAGTTTTTCGTGAAGCCTCATATACGTATGCTTCTCGCCTGGGCTGAGCTTAGTGTGCCTGCTGGGGACTAGGCCAACGTCCTATCTTGGAGTCAGCAAGAGCGTCCTGATAGATCGATTGTTCGTACCTCAGAGAATGTAGCGACTACTGTCACAGGACGGTGACGCTGGATCTTCTCAATTTGATTGGGGAGGCTGTCGTCAGATATGATGCGACTAATGTTGCATGCTATTATGACGGACGAACAAGACGGTAGATAGTCGTCCACGCTGGCACGTGCAAGGCGATTCAAGTCGTTTCGACCTGGCGTGTCGGCGATGATGATGTGCTCGCTTAGGGCAAAGGGGCCGCCGATTTTGACAACTTCGGCGAAGGGCCAAGCGTCGCAACCTCTTCTTGAGTCATCGGCCGAGCGACCATGCGTGAATCGAGCAAGCTCATGCCACAGCTCTTCGGTGGTTCGTTTGTATATATTTGTATCCTGACAATCAAGCTCGTCGTACATGTCGCGAGCGCGCCTGATGAGCTGATCTCGTATATCATGTCGCACAGGTGACCGTTCACTGCTCAACAGGTACTCCTTCATAGTCTCCTCGTCTTCAAAATGGGGGTCTCCACGGAACAGTGCTTGGAAAAACCCTGTAGCTGTTTCCGTATCTGCCCCAGGAGAATCTGGGCCTGCAGGATCTGGGCTTTGTTCTCCATCTTCATCTTCATCTTCATGCTCGCTCTCGTCTTGATGTGACAAAAGCCCGTGGTTCCAGTGTTCGAAGTACGTCTCGATCCGCTTCTGTACAGATTCCCACGGGAGGAGAGAGATAATAGCGCGGTACTTGAAGCGTGAATCGTGATCGGCCCAGTGATGGTACTCCAGAATCACTCTGGTCAGGCTCTCGCCACTCTTTGCAGTTTGAACAACACCCTCGTCGCCTAACAGACTTCCGATAAGGCAAGATTTGCCTTGCCCAGTCTCGCCTATAATGCCAATTCGCATCGGCCCGCTGATGTAGGGTGAAACAGATTTTTCTGCTTCCTCAGCCAGTGGATCCCATGTATTGTGCCAGTGATTCTTTCCAAGGTTGATAGCAGCGATCAAAGAGGTGATGGTCTTCCCTGACTGTACCTCTGCCTCCTTGTATCTTGGGTCATGGAGGGCGACGCCTTCTGATCTGTGATCAGAATGGGGATCGTGTCTGTTACCGCATCCTTGAGTCAACAGCGTCGAGAGTTGTTCGTTGTTTTCGATCAATTTGAGGACGTCGATCGGTGAAGCGGATGAAAGATTCGGCTGCTGGGCCGACGCAGCTCTTGACTGATCGATATGGGCTCGACCATTGGTGATTCCGATCGATTCGCGGACTTGCTCACCCTCAATCGAGAAGTCTGAGTGTGTCTGGCATGGAACGGACGGTCGGGGAGGAGGCGTATGTGTAGTATGTCTCGCCACAGAGCGCTGTCGTGCTAGTGATCTCGATGTTGGGCTGGCATATCGGTGTGTTGACGAAGTAGTGGATGTTTGGGGGGTCAATCTCGATCGATACAATGAACTCGCACTTGTTGCTTCTGTAAAGGCTGAAGCGCGTGACCGAGCACTCATAGAAGAGCGAGGTTGTACTGAAGATTCCGCCGTCGATTGTTCCTCCATGAGACGATTGGAAGTTACTTCTCCAATACGAGATGTCTCCCGTGGAGGGAGTGGTAGAGGGGAGCGCGAACGGCGCTGCGTGACCGATCGAGATCGAGAACGATCGGTGTCGTCTCGTTCTGGACGCTGAGAGGGGCGGTATCGCGAGATATGATCACGATCCATATCGTGTAGCAGGACGAACGAACTGAGACTTGTGCATCAAAATGAATAACAAGACATCTTGGTGACAGAGAAGTAATGTTACGATATCGTCTGTTCAGAATCCCGATGCACAAGGTAGGAGAGGATCCACAAAGTTGCTTTGAAGTAACGCGCGCAGTAGTAGAAAGAGCTCTGTTGCTGAAGACTAAACTTCGATGAGAGTCGACTAACTCAACGCTGACGGGAATCTGGCGACAGAAAAGACTCCGGTTAAGTACTGGAGCGTGGGATCCCCTCGCACCCCCGATCAAACATGGAACCCTGCCATGTTGCACAGGCGAATCACCCAGGTAGTGTATGGAAGACCAGGCGTCTCCATTGCACTGTCCTCATGCAGCCACCCGTGCCAGATGTCACACTGTCGCAGTTCTGGAACGAGACGACAAGTAAGAGCGGTGAGGTCTGCTCTTCTCCATTGGTGACCCGTATGCACTGTCCATGGGAGTGATGCGGTCTCTGCACACAGCATGGAGCTGCATGTCGCCATCGCGATAGTGATTATAGTGCGTGATGACAGGGTGACGGGAACCCGTTATGTGATTGTGGGGGCATGTAGGTATCAGGTTGGTAAAGTAGCGAACCTTGGAAGTGTTTGTGGCTGGAGGCGACCTGCCATGTGACATGTCCCCAGAGTTCGACGGGAACTAACTGCTTAGCGTAGCATACCAGGCAGGCGTCGCCCTGTCAAGCTGGTACTGGATGCTGTGGAAGATTCCAGGGCTCTGGAGCCGGGATCGCCCGGAGAAGCCCTTCAAGACCTGGCAGTGGGGCAAAGACATCGAAGCATGGACGGACTATCTGCCCATTGCAATGGAAACGCGCAGGTACAGGTTTGAGTGACCTACCTATTTTCAACATGCGTTTAGAACTTGCTGCTGTTTGTTGTTCCCTGCGGTAATAGTCACGTAAACTTAGCTACCTAGGTACCTAGGTAGCATACACTAGGACACAATAACGCGATGCTGCTATTTGCAACCCCTCAGAACAACTGCCTAGTCAGTTTAACCTTGAAGTCTAATGCGTAGGGTCTTCGAAGCAAGCAAACGCGTATGATGCCTAGTATACGATGCCTAAAGTCGCGAGCATCGACAACAGCGGGGTCCAGACGCGTCGCGTGTGCCTGCACCCAGGTTCCAACGGAAGGTGACCGGCCATGCCGTAAGGCCTTGCGATGGCTTGCATACGCGAAGTCAATGTTTCACAGCCTTGTATTGGAAGATCCACACGGGGAGCCGGCATGGCTGGTAAGAAACAGGCTGGAGGGTGTATTCGGCTTGGAGGCTACCCTTTCGAGCCTAGCAACTGCCTAGATCGGTCTAGCAGCTTTTAGGGAGCACGTGACTCTAGGAAGAGAGTTCCATGGATAGTACCTTGTTTTGATACCAAAGGAATTTTACTTTTGTACACATGCTTCCTCTATTCTTGCTCTACTCTCTCTTCGCTTTCTCTTTCCCGATCTACTCCACATAAAACACCTCCTCCGTTTGCCCCCACCACCCAGGTCCTGTCGCACTCCCCTTCGCTCCCTTGACAGGACTCTCCTGCATCTTATCCGTCATCTTCCACCATTTCTGCACGACCTTGTTCTCCGCCATGCGCGCCATATCTTCGTCGAAGTTTTCGCCGACGTATTTGAAGGACGCGAAGAGCATGGGGCGGGGGAAGAGGTTCATGTATATCGAGTCTAATAGAACACGTCAGTAAACATTGTCCAGTCTGATTGATATGTAGCTCAGATGAGTAATAAGCAACGTACAGTCCTTAATATTCGAGTCCTTAATCTGCTCCAGCACCTCCGGCCAGACTTCTGCATGGCATTTCTTGTATTCCTGCACACATTCAGGTTTTAGCCAGAGCCATTGGCCTATTCTGCGGGGACCTTGGTCTTTCTTATCGAGCGTATCCGGGTCTTGTCCGTTCTTGATCGCCATTTCACGGGCTACTTTGCGGCGAGTTTGTTCTTCGTTTGCAAGACCGCCCGATAGAGCGAGAACAGGGTCTGTGATAGCCTGCCACATTGGCATTATGGGAGTTGGGCTAGGGCGTTTCGTTGTTGGTGTGATGGGAAGGTGGTTGGAGTATTTGGTGGTTTGGGTGGTGGTGTTGTTGTTGTAGCGGGGAAATTCGTAGAGCTATAGCTTTGGAGGGGTAATTGTCCGTCTTAGCTATCTACTCCTATTGACGGGCCGTCGCGTTTATTTATGTGAGCGCGTCTTGGTCGGAACATCATGTGCCGAGGGGCAAAGCTTCGTGGAGCTTGTACGGCCCGGCGTGTGTGGCAGTGAACATGTCAGTGTGGGGTACAAAGCTGTACGCCTAATCAGGTATGACGGTGTTTTCAGGATAAACTGTGAGATGGAACGAGGCTCTTGCGGCCCAGGGCTTGGCTGTGAGGCAGATTTGTGGGCAAGGCTGGATGCCTGGGTGATTTGTGGAGTTGAATAATCATGGGATGGAAGCTTGGGTGGAGCTTTGATGGCTGGGTCGTGGCAGTGACGATGGCGCGTGGGGCAGGCGCGTTGGAACTTCAATTGTTCGAGGATGCGTGTCCAGAGAGCTGCACCAACGTCTAGAAACTACCATATTCAACCTTCGCGACGAAATCAATGCATCGAGGCACCGAATTTACAATGAATAGTCTAGCAAGAATGCGACAGCGAATGCCAGACGATGCAGCGATCTCCGGACCACACTGAGAGGTGAGTGCGACGGTCGCGACGTTAGGTGTATCTCCGTCAAGGCCTACACTATGACTTATCCTTGTGTTTGGCAAGCTGTCAAGGTAATGTATTCCTCCAGCAGATATCGGAGTTCGAGATTCACACGATCTGGTCTGTCTTGGGATGTCTTTGTTCGCACCTGCCATTTTCGCATTCACTTTCCTCCTTTGCCGACGTCACCCCGATATACTGGTTTCTGAAGTCACCCGTATCTTGCTCGGATGCTTCAAGTCCTTCAATAATACAACCGGCATATCGAAAAACATCTACAGGCAGCAGGAAAGGTCTGTGTCCCATCGGTGGTGTCATCAAAGTCTTTTGCAAGACGAAAGCGGTGAAGATGCTGCGAGAACATTTGACCGGATTCATGGGCAAGCCCGGAGGTGTTTATTTCGTTGCAAAGATTCTTTGAGGTTTGCCGTCGGTCATTTTCGTCTCCATACCCGGCGTCGCCAGTGGCGACCTTTCCCGTCGACGTCGACGTCCACACCTCACTCCCTCCTCAATCGCGCATTGCAGACGCAAAAGCTGACATCTTCTGCAATACTGAGATGAAAAAGTGAAGGAGAATGAGCGTTAGTCAGCCACCCGCTTGGCGCACCGTGGGAGTCAATATCCGCCTTTACCTGCGTTTGTTTCTCCTCCCACACTAGTCCCACGCACTCACCTTTTGACGCGCGAGCCCTCCAGTCCTGCAACTTCAAATCGATCAGACTCTGCTCTCCCCTCAGTGGAGTCGCTTTCTATCCATGTCTCTGCCATACGTTTCCGATCCGCAGGGACATCTTCCGGGCCGGCGACAGCACACCACCGTTGAGTCACTACTCGCTCACCTGCCTCCCCGTCTTCCATTGCCTCCCGCCCCAGCTATGCCTGGATGGACCGAACCACGCTCTATTGGACAGTCAGAAGCTCGTCGTCGCATGTTAGATGGCCAGACGATGCGTATGTAAGCCCTCCCTTCAAGCCGCTCCCATTGACCAAGCATTTAGCTGTCTCACTTCACAAGATGGAGATGGGATTCCTCGAGTTCACTATCGGAACGCACAAGGAAGCGAACAAAGTCCTTCGCAACACCCTTGCCATGCAAGAGCAGTCGACACAAGACCTCCGCGACACCATTACAGTCCATAAGCAAGCGAGACGTGACTCCCGTGATACCGTCAAGGATCTTCGTGATGTCATCAAGGACCTTCGGGAGCGCGACAGCGACCTCTCTGCAGCATACAACGACCTCTCTTTCAAGAACGCGGCCCACGTCGACCAACGAGACGAGCTTCACTCGACCAAGCTTGCGCTGGCCGAGCTGAAGAATGAGCACCTCGAGCTTCGCCTCGCCCTCAAAAGCAAAGAGAAGGTTATCGATGAGCTCAACACCAAGATCGAGGAGGGGGATAGGCTTCTCGCCCAGTCGCAGTCACAAGT